GGGGGGGGGGGGGGTCCAATGACTTTTTCCCCTTCCTTTGCTCCACAAATAAATGATAGGCTTCTTTTTGCATTGCACTAAATATGTATTCACAGCATAATGTGTGTGTGTGTGTGTGAGTGTGTATATAAGTGTTTATAACTGCATGAAATACAATGATCTTTAATCATATGAAAAGTTATTATCTTCAAAAACACGAAATACAATAAAAAATCTTAAATGAGAAGGATATCAATAATCTTCAATTACCATAAGGATTGTACTGAAAGTACAGCTCATATTCCCCATTGTGATAAATCAGTCCATTTGGGTCATTCATCCAGTTTTTCTTTGGGGTGTAGTGATATTGTGGCCGGAACCATGGTGTCTCATCATAGGTAGCACTCTTGGACTTTCCACTGAAGACGATGGCCAAGACAAGAGCAACAAGACAGCAACAGCAGAAAGTGACCACACACAGCAATGTCATGAAAGAATTCAGCTTACTCCTTCTGTAATAGCTAAAAAGGAAATAAGAAAAAAATTATGATTGTATTTTAGTTAATATACCTAAATTTTAATATTCCACCATACCAAAATTTAACATGCAAAATATAAGTATTTTTGTTTGCGCATTTCCTTACCAGGACCATCCTAGCCTCTTATGGTGAGATCACTCATTAGAGAGATCAGTCTGTACTTAAAAGTCTACTGAGATTTCAGCCTGTGGCCACCAATGATAGAAATCAACTAGTCCAAAGCAAATACAAGGCCAGTGGCTGAAAATATTCACAAAATTTGCAAACTGGTCTGGCTTCAGTTTTACTGGCAGTGGGTATTGGGTGGGGTGGGGTGGGGGGGAGGGGGCAGTGCTGATGTAACAGTGATTTTAATCTTGACCTAGTCACATCAAATTATGAGTGTATTGGTATTTAGACTTTAAAGATGCATTCAATTAATTAAATAAAAATATATATACCATATAATAATAATAGAATAAGAAAATCTTTATTTCCCTTAACACCCGTTTTGCCTGAAGACACTGATCATGAAATTTGAAACTTTGATTTAAAAAAAAAAATATATATATATATATAATATCGGAGAATAAAGTCAATACACCATGAAAAAGTGCTCCACCCCTGGGGGCGGCCCGTGGGGAGCTAGTATATAAAATCAAGGATACGTATAAATTAGACTTATCTCTCCAATTTATTTAAAAAATGCCCTTTGGCCGTTTCGGCCCTGAGGCCTCGTCAGGGGCGAAAACAAATCAAAATACGAAACGGCCAAAGGGCATTTTTTAAATAAAATGGAGAGATAAGTCTAATTTATTCGTACCCTTGATTTTATATAGAGTGCTATATATATATATATATATTTGTGCCCCAGATGAGCCTTTGGGTGAAACAACATCAGGGAGAATAATATGTCCCTGTATAAATAATTAATCATTGTTCTCTTTCGTGACTTGGCTCCTCATGTAGAGAATTATCAAAATCGTGAAGTTGACATGACAAAATAATACTACTCATTCTTTAAAATTCATTTCAATTGCTTTTGTTTGTGATACTAAAACACATGAAGGATACTTATTCTACAACTCAACAAGAATAGAACAGTCACAAGAACTGGGATCACAAAATAGCTGTGATAAATTATTTTCAGACGAAACTCTAAAACAAGTTCAAATTTAAATACATAATTAAATAACAAACAAAGAAAGAAAAGAAATACCACTGTAACAATACACTCAAATAAACAAAAACAACAAATAAACTACTCTACCAAAACAATGAAAGATACAAGGATAAATTTAAACACATTAGATGAAACCAGCCCCTTAGCAAAAGCAGCTGTGCAAATTGCAAACTTACACCAGCAGTATTCTCAGAAAACCAAAAAATTTTAACTGGTCACAAAAAAATAAAGGAAGACAGCTCAAGAGGGGCCTCTGCAGTATCCTGAAGGAAAAAGTTCATTAAATGTGGAGGTCAGCCCTATGTCAATTCTGGGATTCCACAGAATACATAGGTAACACACTCACTGTCAGGTAGTGCAAGATTTGTCATGTGCAGCCAAATCCGTGATCACAGAGAAAAAAAAAACGAAGTCATCAAGCAGAGAAGTGTTGACAAGATTATTTGATGTGAAAACTGAAGATGATAAACAGCAAAGATCAAAGACTTAAATAAATTGTGATCTGATGGACTTGTTAAATATCTACCAATTGGTTAAAAATGATGGATTAATTAGTGGTGAAATAATGTTAACTTTGCATCATACACTCTTACCTTATTTTTCGAAAGCACTTTTTCCATTTACTTTTTCTGCCAATCCATGGACTACATAAAGTGCATAATATCATTGCATAATTCTTGTAATTATATTAAATGCAATGTACATGTACATGTATATTATTCATGTTGGGTTATAGTTATTTTTAAAATGTACTGGTATTGGAATAAATAACACATTAATTATAAAAAGCCACCTAAAGCTGTTATACATACAGACAGCACTTATCTATGAAAACTAAAAAAAAATTATAGCAATATGCAAGCTTTAAACCAGTGACAGACTGGACTGAGATATTCACTGGGAAAAAAGAAAGGACAAAACTACCCCCTAGTATAAAAAAAAACTCTGTCCAGTTTTGAGTTTGACTGTCACATTAGAATAAGGAGTTATCCCACAGTGGTGAGTCTGAAGTAAAACAGCACCATTGCTTCCCTATTATTTAGGTAATAAGAAAAGCGCATAGCAAAAGCTCTGGTAAGAAAGACAGACTTAGATTATCACAATGTGTAATTATGCTACTGTGGCTGTAAATTATAAAAATTATAGTAATCATGATAAATGGTATATATGCAATGCACTAAAAATCAAATAATAATCAACATCAGACATGCAAAAAGGCAGAGTGAACACTCACCAATCACCAATTGCATTGTACTCAACACAAAGAAACTTGTATGAAAGTCAAAGGTCAAACCCACCTAATCTTGGTCTCTTTTGGTACAGAACCATCATCCTCACTGGCGGCCAAACGATGATACTCGATGTTCTCCATTATGTTTGTATGTCACATTGATCCTCTAATAAATGAGCCACACACATATGGTGTATTGCTTCCATGAACTATATACAATTCTGTATGGTGCAGCTCCCCAAACTGTGTAATCTGCAAAAGCATCAACAGTGAATATCACTTTTTAAAGGCAATTTGCCTGACATCATGTGACATTAAAGAGAAGACCAGATGACAAGCTGTGTAGAGATTTATATCTAACTCCATTAAGGAGGTTATGTTTTCATGGTAATAGGTTTGTCTGTCTATCAACAACATTGCACAAAATGTTACGAAGTCTTGACCTTTTTTTCTATTCCAGCTATATACATTGTAATTATGTGCTACTGCATGCCATTTGTGTAAAATTTGCTTTAAGTTAGGTCAATCACCAGAGATCGCCCTTTGCAAAACAGGTAGTCACTAGTATGTTGAAGTGTCAGGTCAGATATAGAGCAGGATCCCAGAGGGTTGAGCATGCCCGGAAAGATCACCAATTTTCTTGTACCTAGCAATGACCTACATGGTTACCTATATATGAAAATGGCAGTCTGCCGGATTTCCAGTGGTGGGTGTGGTCAGGGGGGTCCAAAACATAGACCCCTCAAATCCAGCTATCAGGACTTTTTAGGGGAACCCTTAGAAACCTATTGGGGGTCTTTCAGCATGGTCTCAGGTATATTAAATAGATACTGACAGACAAATTGAGTGGTGGGGTGTGGCCGGCAGACCCTGATTTATAGGGGGTGGAAATCCGGCTAGCAGGACCTAAAAGTTAACCCTACAAAAACAACTGGAAAATGTTCCTTAGAGTCCTAGGAAAGATGAATGACCATCGACAGACAATTTAAGTGGTGGGTAGTGCCCGGCAGACACACCCAAAGAGCCACACCCTTAATGTACAGCTAGCATGCCTAATGTACCTCTAGCATTCCCCAAAAGTTAACTCGAAAACAAATAACTGGAAAATGTTTCTTAGACCCCATTTCCAGAGATTAGATCGATCTTCTTTAGATCGACCTAACTCCCTGGGGGTTCACGCTAAATAGCTGTCAGCCGGGCGGACATGAAAGTTAATTACCCCCTTACAGCTTGTAGTAGGCGGGATGGACATTTAAGCCGGATTATCTGACAGTAATCTAGTGAGACTTCCCGCGGGGATAGATCGATCTAAAAGCTCTGGGAATACAGCCTTAGAGTTCCAGGATGCTAGAATGACCATTGACAGACAATTTAAGTGGTGGGTACTGCCTGGCAGACACACCCAAATGTCACACCCAGGTGATTTGTGTATTAATCAGGGTCTGCCGGCCACATCCCACCATTCAATTTGTCTGTCAACTGGTATCTATAGATTTAATATACCTGAGACCATGCTGAAAGACCCCCAATAGGTTTCTAAGGGTTCCCCTAAAAAGTCCTGCTAACTGGATTTGAGGGGTCTATGTTTTGGACCCCCCTGACCACACCCACCACTGGAAATCCGGCAGACTGCCATTTTCATACATGGGTAACCATGTAGGTCATTGCTAGGTACAAGAAAATTGGACCTTAATATTATTTTTAAAAAACTTTAAAATTTGAATTACAACATGCGATGGTGGATAGACATTATTATAGGATGTGGGAATTTATAGCAACTACAGTTTGAAACAGCAGCCGTGAGGCCTTACCTGCGGTAAAGGTACTACCTACACATGCAGCATGTAACTGAAGGCCTAAAACTCAGGCAATACTTTTCCCATTCATAAGCCTGGTGCGTCGAGGCACTCAACTCAAGTTTCTCCACTCTATCTTTGGATAAAATAGGAGCAGATCGACGCCGGTATTTATATCTTCGCCTGAAATGCTGCTCTACAAGATGTCTTAATTTTCAAAATGATTTGATCTGCCAGCAGGTTTGTCTACTCACGGTCTAGCACACAAACACACAAACATCCTCAGAATTGCGTTCTCTAGTACTTAGAGGTATATTTATAAACGGGGTACTATAATAAAATGATTTGGGTGTGGAACAAAATATTGATTCTATCAGCAATTATTTAAAAAATACACACCAAATATTTTAAACACATCAAAATTTCACTGCATATTAAAACTTATATTTTTTAAGTTCTTTTAGATCCAAAATCCAATTATATTAATTACGACGTAAAGTGTTCATAACCTTTACAGCCAAGATAAGCCAAAATGGAAGCGATGCTTGATGAGACAGTGTCGACGGAAGATTTAAAGGTATATTTATTTTTCACTTTTGACTTATTCTTGACAGTACAGATGCAGTTTTATGTCATTACATTGACAGTTTTAAATCTTCTCCGAATTTATGATTGAAACAATTTGTTATCTTTGCTGAAATAATGATATTTGATGTGCACGTCATATTACCCCATAGTGGGGATAAACACAATGTTAACGCTAGCTTACATATGGTGACTAACACGTCAGCTGTTTTTTGCCTCGTCAGTCGTATAAAAAGCGACAAAACATTCTTAAGAAAAACATGAAATATCTACATTTTTAGTCCCTTAGGTGTTTGTGAAAAAGATTTGAGATGGCGAATTCCGGATATCAAAATTAGGCTTCATTCACATGCAATGTCTATTTTCTAAATTCTATTTTCTATTCGCGGTATGTCTTATGATCATGGTCTGTGCCCTGAATATCCCGCGGTGTAATTACTTGCAGCGCGAGCCAGTTACTATAAGTTACTATAAGTAACTGGCTCGCGCTGCCAGTAATTACTCGGCGGGATATTCAGGGCACAGACCGTGATCATTAGATAGCGCGAATAGAAAATAGAATTTAGAAAATAGACATTGCATGTGAACGAAGCCTTAAGCTGCCCCCTCCTTCAATTTTCAAACCCACCAGAATATTCTCTTTATATTGTGGATTTCATAATGCCATTTCATTTAATTCTTTAATGAAACAAAGAATGTTTAAGATTGTACTGTCCAGGGGGCGTCTGGATAGTCCGAAGGTTCATTGGTCCGAAGGTTCATTGGTCCGAAAAGTGGTAACATTTTCATCGATTTTTTAATCAAGGGTTCATTGGTCCGAAGGTTCTATAGTGAATATTCGGACCAATGAACCTTCGGACTATTGAACCTTCGGACTATTGCTACGGCCCCACTGACCCAGCCAGCTGGCTGCATGTTGATGTTGAATTAACACTATCGTTTGCCACAAGCTTGGCTGTCACTTTGATTGTTTACTGCAGGTATTAATAATTACTAGTAATATAAACCAGGTAATATTAACTTAACCTAAAAACCACATACGTGTAAAACAACTTTAGACTATCATACTATACTACGAGTCTACCATAATGCAAATAATAATGAAATAAAGAAAATTAATAAAATATTTTAAAAGAATTTCATAAAATCACCGTCAACCCCAATAGAGACGTGCAATAAAGATAAAGTAAACTTGTAAAACAGAATCGCGGAAAATAAATCATAAAAATCCAAACAGAATAGAAGCAGACATCATATTACTCCCAAAATTGATACAGCTACCTTTAATTTTCCACATCACATTTTTTTTTCAGTAAATCTGATGTATTAGATCCTCAGAATCAGGCCTACATGTATATGCCCCTGGCTTCAATGTTAGCTTTATTATTTAAAAACAAATCAAATGAAGTGCTGATTGTTAAAAATTTCTTTCATCTTTCAGAAATTTGAACAGAGGTACAATGAGCAGATGACAAGAGGCAGCGTGAGTCCAAAGACTCAGTTTGAATATGCTTGGTGCTTAGTGCGTAGTAAATATTCCAAGGATAATCAGAAAGGAATTATTCTCTTAGAAGGTAAAAATGTATGAGCAATAAAAATGTACATATTTTTAAAAATAATTTGCCTCTTCTTTTCTTGATAATAGAAAAAATTATGAAAATTATTCAATTGGAAAAGAAATATACTCAATAAATGATCATATTCACTATGATATTTGTTTTTTTTTTACTTTGAAGAGCATTCAAACAACATCTGTGGCACCAGACTTCCAACATATTTTACGTTTATTTGTTATTATTCTTTTTGTTTAACTTCACTTTTTTCCATCAATATTATGCCAACTTTTATTTTCAGACCTATTTCATAAAACACATGATGAAACTGCGAAGAGAGATTACTTATATTACCTGGCTGTCGGGAACACGCGTCTCAAAGTGAGTACAGCTTACAGGGTTTGCTCAACATCTACTACACCAAGCACATCTGCAGAGCCAGTCCTTTGTATCCTGTGTCTAAATAGAAGGTTGCCTGATGTAGTTTATAGACTGGGTTAACGTTGTTGGTTGGTAATAACAATGACCCCATTTCCAGAGATTAGATCGATCTACTTTAGATCGACCTTACTCCCTGGGGGTTCACGCTAAATAGCTGTCAGCCGGGCGGACACGAAAGTTACAGCTTGTAGTAGGCGGGACAGACATTTAAGCCGGATTATCTGACAGTAATCTAGTGAGACTCCCCGCAGGGATAGATCGATCTAAAAGCTCTGGGAATACAGCCAATCAATCAAATACCGCTGAAGTTGGGATATATGGCATGGCCATTAAAACTCTGGCTGCTAATTTATTTTTTTAATGCAAAGTAAAAGTGCATGTGTCAGTTTATTTAACTCTAAGATTTAAATGACATTATGGATCTTTTTTTTTTTTAATGGATAAAATTTCTAAAGTTACATCAAACACTAATCGAAGATCAACTTAATTTGACTTTATTATGAGTGGAATCATTTCTTTTATTTAGAGAACTAATTGTGACAGTATTTTTTCTCTTTTCATTTTATTATTATTTCTTTCCTTCTCCAGGAATATGACAAAGCTCTCAAATATGTAAATGGCATCTTACAAGTACAACCTGGCAACCACCAGGCTGCTGAGCTGAAGAAAATTATAAAGAAAAAAATGGAGAAAGGTGAGGTGAACTTTCTCTCTCTCTCTCTCTAACAGACAGAATATCTGAACACTTATGATAAGTCTTGATGGTAATTATGCTGTATACTTTCTTTAATTTAGAATTAGTATTTTGGTACAGATATGTGCACTATCATGTAATCCATTTTGTGAAAATGACCTGCAGTTTCTTAAGCACCAATTTATGCATTAAATATGGTAAATCATAATATAATATGATCACATGTACAAACAGTTAACAATAATTCTTCGGTTTTTGGCATTTCCAGAGGGTCTTCTAGGAATGGCAATAGTTGGTGGAGCAGCTGCAGTGGCATTGGGAAGCATTATAGGGCTGGGCGTGGCACTTGCTAAGAAATAACTTAGAGATACTGTACTAAGACACACATTGAGCAGAAGACCTGATTAAACAAAACTTTCGTTTTCCTGGAAATTTCAACATTTTCCTTAAAAACCAAAGTGTATCATGTCCAAAGCCATTTGCAAATTACAATCTATAAAATTTTGCCCAAATTTGATTTCCAAGCTACTGGATTGGTGAATTTCACTTATAGAAATTTAGAACTTGCAAACAGGTTAATTTTATAAATTGTAATTTTCTCAATGGAATTTAATGGAATTGGCATGTACATTGACTTGGTGATAATAAGGAGATGCCTAAAATTTCCAGGAATACTTTTTATAATTATCACTGTAATGATTATTAATATTTATCATTATTTTGCTTCCAAGGGAGTCTAATGCATGGTAGTCTATAAGCAGAAAGTTGTGATGCATACAAAGATCATGACACTGTTAAACAACATAGAAATAACTAAAATATACCAAGTATCAGTTTTACACCAATACATCAAGAAAAAACTAAGAGGACATAACACTCTTATAGCATTTAGAAAAACTAAGAGATACTCAGCATGGGTTTTATACATGTACCAGAAAGAAATAGAATTAAATGTGGCTTACTAGCAGATAGTAAAGAATTCTTGTAAAATGACAGCCAGTAGAGAAATAATATACTTCAGAAAGTTGTGTAAAATATGGTGTTAAGATGGTTTATACAAGAGCACAGTTTCTTTTGTTTTCTTCTTGTTTATTTATTTAATCATTTTCATATTGTTTTCAGCGTAAATTCATAATGCTGCCTGGACTTAAACTTTTTGACAGGAGTTTGTACTAGATATTGTTACAAAATGTAGNTTTCGACGGAAGATTTAAAGGTATATTTATTTTTCACTTTTAACTTATTCTTGACATTACAGATGCAGTTTTTATGTCATTACATTGACAGTTTTAAATCTTCTCCGAATTTATGATTGAAACAATATGTTACCTTTTCTGAAATAATGATATTTGATGTGCACGTCATATTACCCCATAGTGGGGATAAACACAATGTTAACGCTAGCTTACATATGGTGACTAACACGTCAGCTGTTTGTTGCCGCGTCAGTCGTATAAAAAAGCGACAAAACATTCTTAAGAAAAATATGAAGTATCTACATTTTTACTCTCTTGGGTGTTTGTGAAAAAGGTTTGAGATGGCGAATTCCGGATAATTAAATTAAGCTGCCCACTCCTCCCCTAAACCCACCAGAATATTCTCTTTAAATTGTGGATTTCATCATGCCATTTAATTTAATTCTTTAATGAAACAAAGAATAATGAAGATTGTACTATCCCAGCAGTCTGACTGCATGTTGATGTTGAATAAACACTATTAATTGACACAATCTTGGCTGTCACTCTGATTGTTTACTGCGGGTATTAATGATTTATATAAACCAGGTAACTTTAACTTAACCTAAAAATCACATACATGTAATTTGATGTAAAACAACTTTAGACTATCATACTATACTACGAGTCTACCATAATGCAAATAATAATGAAATAAGAAAATTAATTAAATATTTCAAAGGAATTTCATAAAATCACCACCAACCCCAATAGAGATGTGTAATTAAATAAAGTAAACTTGTGAAACAGAATCACGGAAAATAAATCATAAAAATCCAAACAGAATAGAAGCAGACATCAGATTAGACCCAAAATTGATACAGCTACCTTTAATTTTCCACATCACATTTTTTTTCAGTAAATCTGATGTATTGGATTCTCAGAATCAGGCCTACATGTATATGCCCCTGGCTTCAATGTTAGCTTTATCATTTAAAAACAAATCAAATGAAGTGCTGATTGTTAAAATTTTCTTTCATCTTTCAGAAATTTGAACAGAGGTACAATGAGCAGATGACAAGAGGCAGCGTGAGTCCAAAGACTCAGTTTGAATATGCTTGGTGCTTAGTGCGTAGTAAATATGCAAGGGATAATCAGAAAGGAATTATTCTCTTAGAAGGTAAAAATGTATGAGCAATAAAAATGTACATATGTTGTGTTGAAGAATACCATAGCATATCTTAGATTACTGCCTTGTTGAATTTATTAACTTTTCAACCTGAATCTCTTTTTCCACATTAGGTAAAATAATTTTCCTCTTCTTTTCTTGATAGTAGAAAAATTTTGAAAATCATTCAATTGAAAAAGAAATATATTCAATAAAAGTTAATATTCACTATGATATTTGTCAGTTTTACTTCGAACAGCATTTAAACAACATCTATAGCTACTTCCAATACATATTTTACTTTTATTTGTTATTATCCTTTTTTAGTATGAAATATGTATAACTTTACTTTTTTCCATCAGTGTTATGCCAACTTTTATTTTCAGACCTATTTCATAAAACACATGATGAAACTGCAAAGAGAGATTATTTATATTACCTGGCTGTCGGGAACACACGTCTCAAAGTAAGTACAGCTCACAGGGTTTGTTCAACATCTACTACACCAAGCACAGCTGCAGAGCCAGTCCTTTGTATCCTGTGTCTGAATAGAAGGTGGCCTGATGTAGTTTATAGACTGGGTTAACATTGTTGGTTGGTAATAACAATGACCCCATTTCCAGAGATTAGATCGATCTACTTTAGATTGACCTAACTCCCTGGGGGTTCACGCTAAATAGCTGTCAGCCGGGCGGACACGAAAGTTAATTACCCCCTTACAGCTTGTAGTAGGCTGGACGGACATTTAAGCCGGATTATCTAACAGTAATCTAGTGAGACTCCCCGCAGGGATAGATCGATCTAATAGCTCTGGGAATACAGCCAATCAATCAAATACCGCTGAAGTTGGGATATATGGCGTGGCCATTAAAACTCTGGCTGCTAATTTATTTTTTTAATGCAAAGTAAAAGTGCATGTGTCAGTTTATTTAACTCTAAGATTTGAATGACCTTATGGTCCTGTTTTTTTTTTTTTTTTTTTTTTTTTTTTTTTTTTTTTTTTTGAGTGGATAAAATTTCTAAAGTTACATCAAATATTCTAATTGAAGATCAACTTAATTTGACTTTATTATTAGTGGAATTATTTCTTTTATTTCTAAAACTAATTGTAACAGTATTTTTTCTCTTTTCATTTTATTATTATTTCTTTCCTTCTCCAGGAATATGACAAAGCTCTCAAATATGTAAATGGCATCTTGCAAGTGCAACCTGGCAACCACCAGGCTGCTGAGCTGAAGAAAATTATAAAGAAAAAAATGGAGAAAGGTGAGGTGAACTCTCTCTCTCTCTCTCTCTCTCTCTCTCTCTCTCTCTAATAGACAGAATATCTGAACACTTATGATAAGTCTTGATGGTAATTATGCTGTATACTTTCTTTAATTTAGAATTAGTATTTTGGTACAGATATGTGCACTATCATGTAATCCATTTTGTGAAAATGACCTGCAGTTTCATAAGCACCAATTTACGCATTAAATATGGTAAATCATAATATAACATGATCACATGTGCAAACAGTAAACAATAATCCTTTGGTTTTTGGCATTTCCACAGAGGGTCTGCTAGGAATGGCAATAGTTGGTGGAGCAGCTGCAGTGGCACTGGGAAGCATTATAGGACTGGGCGTGGCACTTACTAAGAAATAACTTGGAGATACTGTACAAAGACACCCATTGAGCAGAAGACCTGATTAAACAAAACTTTCATTTTCCTGGAAATTTCAACACTTCTCTTAAACACCAAAGTATGTTATCTCCAAAGCCATTTGCAAATTACAATCTATAAAATGTTGCCCAATTTTGATTTCCAAGCTACTAGATTGGTGAATTTCACTCACAGAATTTTAGAACTGGGAAAAGGTTAATTTTATAAATTGTAATTGTCTCAATGGAATTTAATGGAATTAGCATGTAAGCTCACTTGGTGATAATAAGGAGATGCATAAGATTTCCAGGAAATCTTTTTATAATTATCACTGTAATAATTATTAATATTTATCATTATTTTGCTTCCAAGGGGGTCTAATGCACGGTAGTCTATAAACAGAAAGTTGTGAGGCATACAAAGATCCTGACACTTTTAAACAACATAGAAATAACTAAAATATACCAAGTATCAGTTTTACACTGATACATCAAGAAAAGACTAAGAGGACATAACACTCTTATACCATTTAGAAAAACTAAGAGATATGCAGCATCGGTTTTATAAATGTACCCGAAAGAAATAGACTTAAATGTGGCTTACTAGCAAATAGTAAAGGATTCTTGTAAAATGACAGCCAGTAGAGAAATTATATACTTCAGAAAGTTGTGTAAAATATGGTTTTAAGATGGGTTTATACAAGAGGACAGTTTCTTTGGTTTTCTTTTTGTTTATGTATTTGATCATTTTCATAATGTTTTCAGCGTAATTTATAAAGCTGCCTTGACTTAAACTTTTTGGCAAGAGTTTGTACTAAATATTGTTACAGAACTTAGTTTTTTGTGTTTATTGTAATTTAGAAACAGCTGTTTTCCAATAGTATCCACTTGTCAGTTTTATTTTGTATGGGTTTACCGGTTGCATTTTTGTGAAAATTGCTTTTAAGGTACGGATTAAGTTATTCATAAAAACTCCTCGTTTAAGCAGAATAAAAAAATGACCTGGCATAGTTAATGCTATTAAGAGACAGGATCTTTTTGTTCGAAAATTGCAGAGCAATTTCATTGATTTGATAAATGAAGCAAAAGAAGCCATTTTGCTTGCATTTGGTTACAAACACAGGTTATACCTATTTTGTTAAAGTATAATATTTTTTTATTTTTAAATTCATTGTTACAGTGCCATTATAATACAAAATGGTTATTGTGAAAAAATAAATGTTGCATGCATTTTACACAACGTGGCCTGCTTGCCATTCCTGGTGCTGACGACCAGCAAGGGACGGCACAGTTATCCCACGTCCTGTCTTAGCTCTCTTTGCCTTGAAGCTCTGTCACGCCTAGCGTGAAGAAGTGCGTGTGATTACCACTATAAAAAATCGATAACAGGCACAGCTTTGAGCGTATAAAATCACCGCTTTTCCATCGCATGAAAATGAACATAGTAGTACATTGTTCAGACTAGTAAAATTTAACATAAATAAAAATGAAAATTTATTCGATCAGAGTCGCGGGAGCGCGACTAGTAATAAGTGTCAATAGAAGTTCATTTCTCTTATCTATTTTCTCTTATCTCTTTTCTTATCTTCTTTAATTATAGTGAAGTCTCAATAAAGATATGTCTGTCACGCCAAGTTACATATAGGTATAATATCAGGCTGCGACCTGGCAATAAAGAAGATAAGATAAGAAAAGAGATTCACGTTAGATAAGAGATATAAACTTCTATTGACACTTATTACGAGTCGCGGGCTTAAAATTTAACATTAATAAAAATGAAAATTAATTCGATCAGAGTCGCGGGCTTGGACGCGCGACTCGTAATAAGTGTCAATAGAAGTTTATATCTCTTATCTAACGTTAATCTCTTTTCTTATCTTATCTTCTTTAATTATAGCGAAGTCTCAATAAAGATATAAGTCTGTCACGCCAAGTTAGGTATAAAATCAGGCTGCGACCTGGCAATAAAGGAGTGTTTAATTTTGGTAACTAAACGGTGGTGTTGCGTTACTCTTCTCTCCGGGCATAACCCAAGTCGGGAATCGCGTACCGTACCTAGAATCTTCCAGCGTAGGATTAGAGCCCCTAGCGTCTAGATTATACCCGCGGTATATCTAAGAACCTAGTACAACACGTGTAAGAAGCGAAAGGAATTGCTTTTGAACATGCTAAAACACTTTATCTTTGCTTACCCGATCCCGATCGTACAAAAACATTTGCCTACGTACTAGAGGAGTACATCTAATGACCACTTGCGTTCGTCTGCGAATAGACAATTTATGTCTCCTTGATCTAAACCGACTTATAATAATATTTATAATTTATTTAAATATTATAATATGATACACCTATTAAAAGAATAGAACAAAGTCAAGTTTAGAGTTGTAAGCTTAAGTGTTAAACCGTCGCCATAAATTAACGTTGACTAGTAACGCCAAATTTCCCTTATCTCATACTTTAGTGCACTACGCTTAGTGTGACAGTCCTCTCAGATAAAACGGCTCTTTTTATCAATTCCTGTCCCCTACATGTCCCCGTGAACTGTCCTTGTCATATCATATTATTACACCAAAAACGAGGGACATATTCATTTTTGAAACCTCTCTTCTCTAGCAAAATCCTTTATCCGATCCGTTAGTGGATACACATAAGCGCGCCACTGGCTATCCCCTACTGACGTACGTACTCGACCGCCGTCTACGTGGTCCCTTAAAGCGTCGACAGAAGCGTTTTACGTTACGTAGTCCCATTTGAGTTTGCTCAAGTAACGTCCGGGCGTCCAGTACAAATATAGTAATACTGATGCCCAACAGGAGTCCTATGGCAAACGTGCTACAGGGAACCACGACGCTCAGACTCGCCTCTTTCGGTGTGGCGGAAAATTTTCGTTGACGTTGGGTGACGCTGGGAATGGAGGCTGAAGTGCAAGTGACAAACTGGTGTGAGACACGAGACAACGCACTCAAATAGGTTATGAATTTTCATGAAACATGAAATCCACTGCAAAATTTAATAGCATGTCTTAAACTAAAATCACCTTTACCAAAATCCTTACAAGGTCCCTTACTTAATATAAGATGACTGAAAGGAAATTAGCTCAATATCCTATAGGGCCCTTTGGAGCATAATTCTTAGACAAGAATCTTACAGAAGGTCCGATAGAATTGCTATACAGTCATGTAGGACTTCTATAGAGTCCTATAAGAAAAAATAGGTAAGGGCATCTTTTCCCTATATACCATTTCGTTTAAATATAATGTGCACACATAAACAAACGCAAGCAAGTGCTAGCACAATCAAGAGCAGGGAAAAAAAAACGCACACGTACCCAGTAAACATACAGTACATCCAGGATAATAAATGTTATGAAAAATGATAAGATCCTGAATGTATGTTTATTGGGTACATTTGCTTTTGTGTTCCTGCATGTGTTTGTTCTTCTACTCCACAAATATCGCATACTTGCAATGTTCATGTAATTGCTAGTATTCATTTTGTTTCTCTAGTAACTAATTGACTTTTTTTTTTTTTTTTTTTTTTTTTTTGGCAGGG